ACTGTCTACACACACATTACATTCCCCTCTTTTATATACCAGCCTACCCTATATCTAGTAATTACTAGAGCATTCGCCAAAGTACATGATAGTTCTAGAAACGTTGCGTCACAGTAGTCACGTGACTCTCTGACGCAACAATACATTAAACAACTCGACATGCTATAAAATGTTGAGAGTGAATAATAGAAATACAAAATAAATATTGTCATCCCTTAATTATTTGATACCAGAAATTTGGATTAGCTATGTTGATGAACCTTTAAGATATGAATATATGGCAAATGAGAATTAATAAAGTTTGTTAATTATCTATTATATTCGCTTATGAGGAAGAAGAAAATGATAGTTTTCCTTTTTTTTCTAAAAAATGGAAAAAGTCACAGGTTAAAATTTATCGAAACTGTTCTCTGTGATCATGTCACCACATCAACAGAAGCTGAAAAAATATTAGCTTCTCACTTTTATGTATATAGAGCTACAAAGTTGTGTTCCGAACGAGAATTAGATAATGAAATACTATTGCTCAAACTTGTTGCAGATATCATTGATAAAGTAATTAATAAATTTATGAAACAGAAATGTGATAGCAGTAATTTTATTAAAGTATGTGAAAACACTAAAAAAGATGGATTAATTTTACCCTATAAACTTAATTTATCTTGTAAAGATAAACAACATTTATAAAAAAGTTTTTATCCTACAGATAAACCCATAAATAAGATTATTCAATTATTAAATAAAATTAAGGACAAACTGAAAATACTGGAATAATACAGGTATCTATAAAATAACTGGTGAATGTGGAAGCATATACATAGGTCAGACTACAAGGAACCTGAAATATAGAGGGAATGAACACAAGAGTTTTTTTTCTTTTTTTTAAATAGATATTTTATCATTACCCAAACGTATTAATAAAATATAACACAGGAGCCAATGAGAAAGAACTGTTATTAGCTCAACCTAAAAATAATGATACCAAAAAAACATTCGTGAATTATTGGAAATAATTAAAATTCATAATGTGTTAAATAAGAATGAAGAATTGGCGGAACAAAATATATGTAGATGACGTGATATCCTGCAAAACCACATAAATTAAGATATCACATGATTGAATAGAAGGTATAAATAATGTAATATTCTTATGATTTACACAACTGAAGATAGCGCTCTAAATAGTGTCGAAACGTGTCAAGTGTATTGATACTGTAAATCAGTCTAAATTTAAAATGGTGTTTAGTGTGTTAAGAAAAAATATAACTCTATTTAACTTGTAATTATTTTATACAAATGTTCAAAAATAATTTTATTTTGCTCTCTTTTACACAGATTACTCCAGTTAGCCTATAGGTATATACAAGTCAAACACTTAAAAATCAAAAGTCACAGTATATTTTTCATTAATATCGTACAGTTTAAAATATTTGTTACAGCATCAGTCTCGGTAAATTAACTGGGAGTTTTTCAAGCTCACTGTACAATACAGATAAAGAAATATCAAAATTTATAACTAAGAAATATAAATACCATTCAACTCTTCGGTTATTCGGTGCTATGCAATTTGACAAATTAAAATTTGTCTTATTCTGACGGCACAGGTTCAACGTGTTACCATATTCACATTAAACTGTACGCAAACATCGACCATGTACGGTGAAATACCAATGATTGCAGAAGTCAATGCGGAAATTTACTGATAAAACGATATTCTCAATTGG